TTTAAGGCTTGAATCATAAAGTATTCCAACACGCCTCCAAAATATTTTCCTATATAGAAGTCATCCAGGCTGTGTAGTTCAAGATAGGTCGCCCCTAGTTCCTTCGCCAGCTGGATTCCTTCCGTTGTACTGACACAGCTCCCCCGGTCAGAGGTGCACAGTGGACAGGTACAAGGTAATTCTTCATTTTGTCTGGTACCAACTGCAGCAATGATGACTGGAACTGAATTTAATGCCCTTTTTATCACTGGAATATAATTATCTTTCACTTCATGGAATGAAAACTTGTCGTTTACGTTGTATTTGATCACAATGATGTCAGCTCTCCCAATTAGGTTTCGGGACGTGTACCAATCACTGTCAAAAATGTCCCAGACGGGACAGTCGTGGACCAGGAGCTTGACGTTCCCGAACGCGCTGGCCTGGTACTCCGTGAACACCGGCCGGGCCACCGTGCCGGCCGCGTTCAGCAACAAGCTGCTCTCGTCCCCCGAGACCAGAGGGCTTCCCCCCAGGTAGGTACGGATGAGCGCCGACGGCCGCTGGTCCTGGTGGAACGCGTCCCCCTCGTTCCCCAGAGCCACGATGTGAATGGACATGGTCTCCGAGCCCAGGGCAGGGCGGCTACTCGGAGAGAAGCGGCTCCTCACGGCCTCTCGGGGTCCGCGGGCGGCGTGGGAGCCCGCAGTCCGCTCATCCCTGGCCGTGTACGCCTCGCGCGCCTCCACCGCGGCGTGGCCGAACAGCGCGGGGGCCCGGAGCGGGCGGAGGGCGGCCAGCCGGTCACCAAGCGCGCGGGGATATCGTCATCGCGACCGCCGGGTCCCGGTCGCGCGGCAGCTCTGCGGCCCAAGAAGATTCCACCAAGCGTAGCCCCGTCTCCCCTGCGCCTCCGGGCGGGCTGCTGTCACCTCCCACTGCTGCAGCCCCTCCTCAGTTCTGTTTAAATTTAAGGTCTGGCTTTTCTATTTCTACAAAAATAGGCCATTGGAATTTTGATAGGCACTGTACTGAACCTGTAGATCACTTTGGAGGATACTACAAACTTAGCAATATGAAATAGTGCAAACCATGAACATTTATTTAAGGTTCTCTTTCTGTAGTACTTTGTATTTTTTAGTGTATAAGTCTTTCACCATTTTGGTTAAAGTTATTCACCAGGTGTGGTGGTGCATACCTCTAAACTGAGCACTCAGGAAGCTGAGGCAGGAGGATCACAAGTTTGATGCCAGCCTTGGGTACATAGTAAGTTCACGGCCAGCCTAGACTACACAGTGAGACCCTACAACAACAAAACAACACCAACAAAAATTTACTCCTAGGTACTTTAGTTTTGGATATCACTGTAGTTGGAATTATTTCCTTGGTTTTCTTTTTTGGATCATTCATTTGGAGAGAATAAAAACACAACTGGTTATTGTGGTTTTGCTTTTATACCTGTAAATTTGCTGAATTACTTTATCAGCTCTAGTAAATTTTATGTGGATTGTTGTATGGGATTTTCTATACATAATCATGTCATTGGAAGCAGGAATAATTTTAATTCTTTTTCTTACCTAATTGCTCTGGCTAGGACTTTCAGTACAAAAGTGAATGGTAGTAGTGAAATACATATCCTAGTCTTGTTCTTGATCTTCTAGGGAGATATTTAGTCTTTCATCACTGAATATTATATTAGCTAAAAGTTTTTCACAAATGCTATCATATTCAGTAATTTCCCTTCTATTCCTAGTTTTTCCTGTGTGTGTTTAAATCACAAAAGAGTGCTGATTTTGTCAAGTGTTTTTTTCTGTGTCTAAGGAAGTGACTATGATTTTCCCACTTTATTAAATTTACTTTTTTTGGTTAGTCTTCGAAGTATGAAGAATGGTAACATTAGACAATTTCCAAAGAAATAAGAATAACATTGCTATTTTATGAATTGTTCAAAGAACTATATTATTATTTGGTAGGGTTTCTTTATGCAGACAGAAAACAAGCACACATAAACTATAAGGCCAATAGAGCTATCCTAGGAGGTACTATCCTAGAGAAAATATCTATGACAACATCTGCTTCAGTTACATATACAAAGCATTACATAAAATATTAAGGAGAAAAGCAAGCTCCATAAATAATTAAAATTTAATAAAAGCTCTCAGAGCCAGCTGTTTCCATTTAGGGTATGAAAGATATACAGAGCACCTTTACATTTATAGCGTGCTGTGTCAGTATGAATTACCTCCAAAACATCTTTGGGATTAGGTTACATTTTGGACATGTGGGAAAAACAGATTTTTATCCCAGAAGACAAAGCAATAATGGTGCAGAATAAAAAACCTAAAGAGTTTCAAACTTCCCATTGGGTTATCAAATCACTCAGCTGCTTTCAGCAGTATAACAGGAGCAGGATAACAAGCTCTTTCTAAGAGAAAAGCACATGACAAAAACTTGTAGGCATGAGCTCCTCTCACTTAGAGCAAAAGAACACAGGCATATCTGCCAGATACATCACTGTTATTAAATTTTTATTCCTACCACTTTCTTTTATTTATTTATTTTTTGGTACCAGGGATGGAACTTGGCACCTTGCGCTTGCCAGGGAGGCACTGGAACCACTGAGCTAAATCCCCAGCCCCCCTACCACTTTCAATCTAGACATAAGAGCATCTCACCTATTCTACATCTCTGGGGAGCAAGATGCTCATATGAATGAATGCAGAAAATGAAAGATTATCCCTTTAGGTGTCCAAAGCAGTTCATAAATTCTTAATTCATTTTCAATTAAAATAATATAAGCTAAAGAGATAATATAACATACTACAGTAGAAGAGCATGAAAAGTGCTATGTGTCAATGTGTGACCTTGGGCAAGTCACACAAACTTTCTGACTCCAGGTTCCCCTATGAACCTCATGGGATTCAAGTTTCAGATGTGCTAAAAAATCCTAGAAAATTAAGCATGCCTATAATACTAGTTGTATTTTATGACTGTACTTTTTAATAAACTAAGCCTAGTATATCCAATCTAATTATTTCTTGGAAAAAGGAATTTCAAAGAATTTTGCCAGGAGATCACCTCTCTTATAGTTAGAATAAATGTAACAGAATAAAAATAAAATACAGTTTCTCATACAATTAAAAATGAAAAATGTAATCCTACCATATACTTCCACTAAATACAAACTGTAAAACTCACTTCTAAATAAGTCAGGGGTTAATGGGACAGTGTATGTATGGAAATAACAATGGAAGTCCTATGTGTTACAGATGGTAAAGTAGAAAGAAACATTTTAGCCTTAAATGGCTTTACTTGAAAACAGAAAGACTGAAAATATAAGGCTTAAATAGAAACATAAGCTTGAGAAAGAACAAGAACATAAATTCTAAGAATGTAGAAAGAATTAATGTAGATAAGGCAAAAATTAAAGGACCAAACAACATTGAGAAAAATGAAAGCCAGCTCTGGCAAAGATAAACAAAATAGACTGGTATGCGTGATCAAAGTAAGAAAAATAGCACAAACAACATTAGGAATAAAAAGGGAAATAACTAGGGGTAAACAAGCTTATGAAAAATCTTATGTCATCCAACTGGATAACAACTAAAATAGACAACTGTTTAGAAAAATGTAAGCTACTAAATTGTACTGAAAAAGAAATAGAAAACCTGAACAGACCAATAAACCAAAAAAATTTGATCAGTGATCAAAAATCAACTATTCCATAAAGGGAACAAAGCCAAGACACTTTTAGAGACTTGTTTTCAAGACTGTCCTAGGAAAAATTTCAAATAAAACACACTAGTGCAAAAAGAATTGTAAATACTACATACCTATTACTATAATTCTGCAATTAACATCTTACTTCATTTTCTTTCTCAAAATGTACTACCCATTTATCCATGCACATTTCTTTCTACACATCTATCCTTTTATATCTTTTATTGGATTCTGAGGGGTAAAAATATAGGATAATAGACAATATGACAAGACCTTAAAGTACCAGGCTAATAAGTAATGTTTGTATTTCCGTATCAGCTTAGTATTTTTTAATGTTTTTCTAAAAATAGAATTGGGTGCTCTGGTACACTGAAAATAAGAATATATGTATTTAGGATAGATTCTGCGCCCCTTTTCCCTCCTGTCTTTGGACACTATCTTGTGAAGATGGATACCCTGGTCCCTTTCCAGTTTCTAAAGGTATCAGCCAGTTCCCAGTCTCTTGCCACAAAAGAGAATTGAACAAGATCTTTTAAAGCATCAGTTAGAAAATACATTTATTTGGTCAGGAAACACTATGCATTCATTAGAAAGAAAATAACATGTACTAATCACAGGTACAATTTATCTTCTGAAGGATAATTTCTAAAGTGGAACTTCTGCCAAAAATACGATCTCTTTTTTTTTTAACCTCAAAAGTGATAATCAGATCCTAAGGAAAAGTAATCACATTTATTTTCTCAGCACACAGTCTAACACATCAGCAAAGCTAACAGATCAAAATTTTAAAATGAAAGACCACTATCAAAGAATGATGACATAAAAAGTACGGTTTAATTTGTAAATATAAGATAGTATAGTACTCATGTTAATCAAAATTATCAAATGCTAATTTCCCCATTGTGCCCTTTTATTATTTCTTTGCACTGAGACATGACCTTGTTGTTCCCACAAATGACTGAGTTGAATATATTCAAAATTCATTTCAGTGGAAGATGTAAGTGTTTAAATCATTCTTCTCAACTGTAATGCACGTGGCACTGGGCTGATGTTCTGAGCTGGCCTGGCTCATCAACTCCCTTTCTGCCTTTGGTCGTGGTACCAATGTCACTAATCCATCCTTGAAAACATACTACAACTTTGTGAAAAGGATGCTGTTCCCCAAAATGTGTCCTTTACAGCATTATTCTAATATCATTGGTACCTTCATTTTGTTTGTATGCGAAACACATTAGATTCAAACATATAAAGTACTAGAGTGCTGGGGATTCATACCACCCTTTGCGCTAACAGTACCTTACCTTGCTGGAGTTTTCTAATAAAAACTGGAATGTGTTCTGTACAGCTTGGCATGTTTCTAGCTCAGTCCGGCTGAAGGCTATTAAATAATCCTTGAGGTGATCATATACATTTCCATCAAGAGCCTGGAAGAGAGGAGTAAACAAAAGCAAAAAAACTATGACACATAATGCCAGTCTACAAGGAAAATAAGAATGTTTTGTTTAAAAGCCATTAATAAATGAACAAAAATACAGATTGGTATGTATGATGAAACAGAAATAGTTCATCTTTGGGAAAACGCAGAATCTCTCTAATAAATAGCAACTTTAAAAAAAAGTAAAACAATATTGCTAAAGCTGAAAGAAAAACAGCATGTAACTTGGAGACAAAAACCCCTGGGTTCTGATTGTTGCTCCTTTGCTTGATAGCTTCTGTAAACATTCCAGGACAGATGATACAGTAACAAAATGAAATAATATAAAGAATCTAGGCACAGAACCTAGAACAATGTAGACACTAAACAAACATTAATCTCCTCCATTTTTCCTTATACATTATTGATAGAATTATAATTTAGTATATATTTACCAAAGAAAAGTCAGAGAATCAGATGTGGTGGCACATGCCAGTAATCTCAGCACTTGGGAGGCTGAGGCTGGAGGATCACTGCAATTTTGAGGCCAGCCTTGGGTACATAGTGAGTTCAAGGCTGGTCGCCACTACATGGAGAGACCTTGTCTCAAAAATGAAAAAAAAAGGTGGGCCAGGGATCTAGCTCAGTGGTTCTGCCACCTGCTTTGCAAGTGAAAGGACCCAAGTTTGATCTGCAGTACCAAAAAATTTTAAAAAAATTTTTTTAAAGGAAAAGAAAAGTCAGAGAAAAAAACACAATAGAAATATTTAAAAAAAATTTTTAAAAGAAGTCAGAAACTGGAAACTGGATAAAGAAGATGTGGGTTTTTTATAAAATGGAGTACTACTCAGCCATAAAGAATGAAAAACTAGAGACGTTTATAGCTAAATGGATACATATTGAGGCCATAATCTTAAGTGAAATAAATAGGACACACATGTGTAAATACC